TTTGTTATAATATTTATTTCTGACATAATTAATTTATATCTTTTATTTTTTTTAATGCAAAACTTCAATAAATGTATCAAAGGTAAGAAAGGAAATACTTTAAAATGTATAATTTAAAAAATAAAAAAAATATTATAATGTTTATATGACAGTATCAAAAATCATTTCCCTAAATCATAATAATTTTTTCCAGATGTCGGATCTAATTTTTTAAGCACAAAGTTATATTTTGATTTTTATAAACTTTGAAATCTGTCTAGTTTCATTTAGTGACCGTGCTTAAATATTCACAATAAATGCCTTTTCACTTTTTTTGATTTGTAGGGACTGTGAAACCTCCAAAGTTGACCTCTGTTGCAAGTGAGTGCAAGCTTGAGTTGAAGTTGTGTATAGAAAGTTGATTAATTTATTATCGATGTTAATTAGATCTCTCACTTAGAATTCTTATTATAGTGGAATTTAAATAAAAGAAAGATTAAAATATATTTAAATAAATTAGGATAAATATATATATAATATAAAAAGAAAACGAATTAATGAACTTGACGATTTTATTTCGATAATGAATAAAATATAAAATTTAGAAAAATTATAATAAAAAATTTAATGATCGTGAATGGTAAAAAATTAGAGTTTTTATACTCATAAATTAAATTATTTACAGTTATCGCTATTCAAAAATATATTTAAACAATTTATAAACTAAAAAAAACTAAATATTCAAATCTATTTTCAATTTGCTTTTTTCTGCTTATCATAAATATAATCTACCGTTAAACATGAAAATTACCCAAAATAAAATTTGAATATATCGACAAATATTATAATATAATTAAACGTACTTATAATAAGGAAAATTTGAATATATCGATAAGTATTATAATATAATTAAACGAACTCATAACAAGAAATATTTGCATAAATAAAATAATATTTGTCTAACTATCTACATAATCACGACACCTTCCTCCTTAAATTTGTCCTTCCTATTCTATTGACTCTTCAGCTAAATTCCCTTTAATCACCTCTTCTCGAACTGTCATTAGCTACATATAGTGACGGGCAAACTCGCATTAGGTGATTGCCTCCGCATGACCAACAATCGATCTTTCTTTTCTTGGAACCTTCGGGCACCCATCGTCTCTCTGATACTCTTGTTGGTTCTTGCAACATCTCACCTTAACGATTGGGGCTTCTTCCCTAGCCGCGTCTAACCATCTTCTGGATTCCACCGTCCCGTCTATTTCTCTAATTTCTATTTTAATGATTTTATTCCCAATTCTAAAATACGACGCCATCTATAAACGAATTTAACCATACATGTATAACAATATATATATCACCCTCACTATTATTATAATCCTAACTCATGATATCTCACTCAATTGCAACTTTATTGGCTTGTTACTATATATGATTATCATAATGTCCTTCAACAACATTTAAAATCAAGATTCTCATGGTTGTCACTTGTTACCACCAACAAATCGATTATGTTTATCAACAATTTTAAAATTTCCACAGTTATGATTCTCATAATTTAACCAGAGTTGTTTAACAACAACTCAATCATGTATATCATCAACATTTAAAATCAAGATTCTCATAATTGTCACTTGTTACCACAAACGAATCGATTATGTTTATCAACAATTTTAAAATTTCCAGTTATGATTCTCAACAACAACTCAATTATGTATATCATCAACATTTAAAATCAAGATTCTCATGATTGTCACTTGTTACCACCAACAAATCGATTATGTTTATCAACAATTTTAAAATTTCCACAGTTATGATTCTCATAATTTAAGTTGTTTAACAACAACTCAATTATGTATATCATCAACATTTAAAATCAAGATTCTCATGATTGTCACTTGTTACCACCAACAAATAGCAATTTTAAAATTTCCACAGTTATGATTCTCATAATATAACCAGAGTTGTTGGACGATTGCCCGAAGGTTCCAAGAAAAGGAAGATCGATTGTTGGTCATGCGGAGGCAATCACCTAATGCGAGTTTGTCCGTCACTATATGTAGAATGACAGTTCGGTAGTATCCCGGTCCATTCAAGAAGAGGTGATTAAACGGAATTTAGCTGAAGAGTCAATAGAATAGGAAGGACAAATTTAAGGAGGAAGGTGTCGTGATTATGTAGATAGTTAGACAATATTATTTTATTAATGCAAATATTTCTTGTTATGAGTTCGTTTAATTATATTATAATACTTATCGATATATTCAAATTTTTCTTATTATATGTACGTTTAATTATATTATAATATTTGTTGATATATTCAAATTTTATTTTGGGTAATTTTCATGTTTAACGGTAGATTATATTTATGATAAGCAGAAAAAAGCAAATTGAAAATAGATTGAATATTTAGTTTTTTTTAGTTTATAAATTGTTTAAATATATTTTTGAATAGCGATAACTGTAAATAATTTAATTTATGAGTATAAAAACTCTAATTTTTTACCATTCACGATCATTAAATTTTTTATTATAATTTTTCTAAATTTTATATTTTATTCATTATCGAAATAAAATCGTCAAGTTCATTAATTCGTTTTTTATATTATATATATATTTTAGAGTTATTGAATAAGCGATAACCTTATGAAAGGTTTCATTGAAAATCAATTTTTAAATTTGACCTAAGATTAAGTATTTGGCTATATATGGTCTATAAGAAAATCAGTTGGTATATGATATTTATTTAAATATCACCTTTGAAGCTTAAACCAAGTATTTAGTTTTATTGACATCGATAGCCCGGACTTAGTTTCGATGAAATTTAAAACATATTTATTTATGAATCTAATTTACTCTAATATAATAACCTTGTAGTCTGCATCTAGTTAAGAATTAAGATATATTAATTATTATTCTAGCCCTATCCCACATCCGGCCTTAGCTTGGAATGCATTCGCAAGCAGTAATGTTTTCTTGTTTCTCATTTCCAATTTTAAAACCATTTTTGTTTTTTAATATGGTTTTTTGGTTTTGAAATACTCAAAAATGACTTTTTATATTTGAATTGAATATACCTTTATCAAGACAATTATTGAAAATTAAACATCGAGGTATTAATTAAAATTTTATTCTGTCATCTTTTGTAATGATAAGAAGAAATTTCCATTTTTAAATATCTGAATAATTTAAGCGTAGTTTTTTTGTTTTTAAAATTCAAGAATATTTTGTTTTTTAAACATTGGAAGAGTGAATGATCGCTTTTAAGATTGTCAATAAACCCACATTTTTTTTGTAAAAGGTATAATACCAAATTTTTAATTTTAAACCAGGCGCAGCCTGAATTTAAAAGAAAAGTCACTTTCTAGTCCGGTTCTGTTTAAATATTCTAGCCCGGCAAGGGTTTTTTATTTTTAGCTCGAAATTTATTTAAAATATTTTTTGATGTATGTAAATTGTTGGGAAATTAAAAATATGAGGAGTTGGATGCGAAATGTAAATAAGATAAAAACATACTTTTATAACACTTTCATTTTCTTATTTTCCAACTGATTAATTTATAATTTATCCCTTTTTTATAATCTTGCCTCATTTTCTTATTTTCCAACTGATTAATTTATAATTTATCTAATTTTTAAAATTTATGCTATTTTACGGTCTGCTCTGGATCAGGCCTGCTGGTCTGCTTTATATCATTTGTTTGATATCTTAAAATTATCTCTTAATATAATTTCAGGTGCTATAAGATCTAGGTATATTTCAATATTTTTCTTTTAAAATATCGAATTTTTTTTATTAAGCATATTACCAATTATTATCTTTCCTTTTCGTTATTATAATATACAATTTTGGAAAAATCAATAAAAAAAATGAGAATTGTTTGCTATAATTATTTCGCATCTTTACCCTAAAGTTAATCAATTTAATAATATAAATATATATATAATTGGATTGCATTATTACAATTTTCAATATAATTATTTCATTATGTCCCGGTACCGACAAAAAAAAATTAACAATATAATTATTATTTTTTAATGTGATTAGTCTCTATCAAAAATATAAACATTTTTGTTAATTAATTTGACTTTACATATGAATTTTTTTTTATAAATTGTCTATTAGTCTTGGTAAATGGCTAAATATTGTGCCAATCTTAGTTCTACTCTAAAAATGGCTAAGTCGAGTTTTTCTTATCGAACACTTCACCCATCTAAATTTTTGTGGAAAAGATTGCTCAATCCTAAGGAAAGTGACAGCACCTCAAGGTTTGGCGGATATTTTGATGTACCTCTTCTGGACTGAAAATAATTGACGATTATGCAATATGAATCGAACTAGGATATTTTTTATAGGTTAGGTTGGATAGGTGTACCTGTGCCTATACCGAATTATTTTTTAGCCTGGTCAAGGCGGCCAACATTTTCTAAAGAGATTTTGGAGCATTCATGAACTTTTTTCATACATATCATATTTAAGATTTTAATTCAGATCGAATTTTAACTGTAAGGAATGCTGTATTCAAACGTTAAATATTATGTGTATAATATGTCGGGGTTTGACAAATTGTGTTTTTAGCAGCATTTTTTTTAATTTTAAAAAGATCTGGCTTTTCTAGTATGAATTGAGTACTACCCACTAAATTCGGACAATTTTGTCATGAATATTTGAACTACTCTGAAAAAATTTTTACGTCGATATTTCATTAATTTTTTTTAAAAAATACACAAATATTCGTTGCGAAATTGTTCAAGGATCGGCCCTATATGCATGCTGGGATTTATTTTCGAAAATAATCGCACGTTATAAACGAATTACTTTTTAAAAATTTACTTTAAAAATACATATGTCAACTACTTGATAGCCCTGAATTTTCTGAACCCAGCTGCGACATTTACAGAAGCGTTTAAAGTTTATGCATGGTACCCCCTTTTGAATTATTAATAAATTCACATATTTTTGTAATGAAGGTTTTAGAAAAAATATTTCTAATTTTTTTTTTAAAATTGGATTAATAGATGGATTGTTAACAAGATTTATATCGAACTACAAGATCTCATAACGACATCAACCGTAGGAAAGATTTTGAAAGAAATCAGGGTTAGTTTTTTTTTGTTGGGAAAAAAATTGTTTTGTATGGCAAACTTTTCTATCATTAACAATATCGAAATAATCAAAGTTTTTTAAAAATAATGAGCAGAAAAAGTTTGGATTGCTCGTGACAGCAAGATGCTCTTAGAATCATTTTATCAAGAGCTCAAATCACAATACAAATTATTTGTAAATACTTGCTTGTATTTTTTATAACCTTGTTGAATTTAGCAAGACGCTTAAATTTATAAAGAACTTAAATAAGACAAGTTACTTTGCGGATGTCCATTTTCTTTACCTGTTTATTTTTATTAACTATTTCACATCATCACATACCTTTGAGTGCCAATCATAAGTTATTTAGATACAGTTTAATTATTAAAATATTATTATTAGAGATCTGCAAAAGTAGGGGGCCTATTTTTAAAAAAAAAAAATCGGGCTCGGGCAGTCGGGCCTAATATTTTTTAAGAAAATTCGGGCCGGGTCAGGCCTTAGAAATTTTTTAAAATATATCTAAATTTATCAATTTTATGTTGAATTTTTTATGTAAAATAAAAATATTTGATTTTATTTATAGAAACTAGACGCCATATATCATATATTTTGAATTATCTATAAAAATTAATTTCTATATTTATAATAAATTTGGGCCGGGCAAGGCCGGTAAATTTTTTCAAAAATAATTTAGGGTTCGGGCCTGGCCGGCAAAATTTTTTCAAAAAATCTCGGGCCGGGCTTGAAAAATTAGGTCCAATGCAGATCACTAATTATTATTACCATATGCGGATATATGGTTTAAAGAACCCTGTATGGCGGATAGGCATTCTTCTTCCGGTCCGGACATAAATTTTTATTTGAGACCAAACTTGGACAAAAGATCCGGGCTGGACCTAAAAAATATGTCTGAATCATAGCTCTATTACTATATATATTAAACGTTCTCGGTTATTTAGAAAAAAATAAATAGTTAATTTGTATTTTATTTTTTGATACAGATTTTTTTAAAAAAATATTTCTGTTTATATTATTAAAAAAAGGTCAAAGATGTCAACCTAGGTTCCTACTTTCCTATCATACAAAATCTGGAAATCGAAAAGATTGTATTGGATTCCAATTACGAACATATAGAGGTAAAAACCGTTTTGATTTTATTCATAAAATTTAATTCAACGATTTTTTTGTTAGAAATCAGATCAATTATAAATCGATATAGTATATTATACTGGATTTGATATATATTTTTTATTATAAATATATTTTTTTAACATGTTGATATCCTTAATTTTTGTAAAAATGGTCACTTTGATACACTTTTTAAGGTGAAGTGATCAAAGGATATAAATGTTTGTATCCTCTAGTGAATTCTTTCGTAAACGCGCTTGATATTATGCGCAATGGACAGGGAATTTTTCAAATAAATTTATGATAATGCAATTCCTACTTGCAAGTTTTTTAAGTGAATTTATATTTTTTTAAAAAAGCGGAATGCTTCTCTGTTATCATGTATGCAAAAAATCCTTCTTTTTGTTAAATGATGGATGATTTGGCTCAGCAGTCACATATTTAATTGAGGCGCAGTAAGTTAGGGTTCAATTCCTAGCTTGGAATACATTTCAGACCATTATTTTTGTTAACGATATTTGACGCTTAGTATCTCCTACAATGAAATCACACAGATTACTTAGAGTTGCTGGAGCAGCAATAAGTATATGTTTAATTTAACAGGGGAGACGTCTATTATCAATTTAATTTAAGATCCAACCAAAAAACGCATATGGGTAGTGGCGTAAACAAGGGGAAGGGGGGTTTGGAGTTTACCTCTCCCCACCCCATAACCCCCATCATTTCTTTTAATTTATAAATTAAATAAACTGAAAAGAACAAGCAACTAAACAACATCTATAAAAATCATAGAATCATAAGATTCAAAAATATTTGGAATCGGGGAAAAACTTTAATGTATTTAGACTTAATGATTTTTGAATCGAGTTTTTATTTCGCTTTACTTGTTTTTATTTATTGATAAGAAAAGCTGATTGATGAATTAGGTACTAATCATGCCGTAAATATTGTTCTTTGCTTTAATTTCCCTTCTAACATGATGTCAATCTTGGCAATTATATTTGTTTTGCCAGCAATGTTTTTCATTAAACTATCTACTAAATGGGTTAAAGTACTAAAAAGTATGAAATATGTACAAATTATGGACATAAATATCAAAGATAATGCTTCCATATCTTTGGATGACTTAACGCTTAAGGCATGATGGTTCGTAATTCTTTACTTGTGGTTGGCGGAATTGATTAGAGAATTAATAAGCAAGACACTAAACGCAAACTAGTTATAACTTCTATATTCTCATGACATGATGCTAATTTTTTATTTTTTTTACAATTAATTTTCTTCCCATTTAAGCCATCTATCAAACAGGATAAAACAACAAATTGTTCTAATAAAGCCCTACTTAAGTTTCAGATTTTTCAGTGTGACGTATTAGTTTTCTTTTGTTTATAACTCAGCTTTTTTTTGCAGTTCGCATATTTGATTGAGGAATTAAAAGTAAAGCACTAGTCGGCTTACACACGCCAGAGATATAGTTTTTTTTACATTTACCATTCTAGTATAATGCCATTTTTTTCCTTACAATTGATCGCTGAACGTTGATCAAATTTTCAAAATAATACTTTCGATCGCTTTTTAATCGTAAGGTTGGCCAAAATTTTGTTGCTAATACTTTTTTCATTTATGCTGGCTACCATACTCCAGACACTAATAAAGCACAAAACATTTACATATGTAAGCATTAGTATGGAGATGATATAAAGATATACAGAAAAATTATCAATATATAATATTTTTTATTACATATAATAAATTTTAAAAAACTATAACTTATTTGGAATAACGGACTCTAACCTCAAAGATTAGAATGGCTCAAACTACTGGGAGTAGAGATATTAAACATTTCCGATATATTGTATAATAACTAAAAGAAGTTAATTTTTGTTTCTATCAATATGTTTGCAATTATAATAAAACCTCATTTGTGACTAGTTTATACCTACAAAAATACGAATCGAATCGAATAATTGCATTATTCGTTTACGATTCGAAAATTTTAAATAACCATAAATTTTCTTAATTATTCCAATAGGAAATTTTATTAAATAGAAACAATTGCAAATAATTCCTACTAATAATATATGATTATTTTTCAATATTATTATTTTAATCGAATAATCTCGAATAATTCGATCGAATGATAGATAAAAAATTATTCGACGAATAATATATTTTCCTTATTCGAATTCGATTCGAATTTTCGAATCGAATAATTGTGATATTCGTATTCGTAAAATACGAATCGAATCGAATAACAAATAATTCGTTTTAGGTATACTAGTTATTATCCCTATATCAAGATTATAATTGCATTCTAATTGAATTGAAATTTATTTTATTATATCATATAAAATAATTGATATGTCTAGAAAAATCATATCTTTTGATAGATTTGTTAAGTTTTATTGTTTTTTTAGTGTTAAATATGTATTATTTTATTTGACTAAAATCTAAAAAAACATATAATTAAGATTTTTAAAAAATAAAAAGAAATGAATATGAATTCAAAATGGTTTAATTATTTTTAAGTGATTTATTTATAAGGAAAAGGTAATCAGGATATCGCTAATTATACTTTTTAAATGTTTTTATTTTTACAATTATGATGGTATTATTTAGTCACAGGAATTATGAATAGTTTTTTTTTAAACTTTTTGAAGGGCACGATTCTATTTGAAACCACTATTTTTTCGAATCATATTTCTGCCACTAGGGAGAACTACTTCATCTGAAACATATTAAAATTGAATATATTTGTAATCATTCAAATCTAAAGTTATAATATTTACACTTGAAACAGGAGTTAATCTTATATAAAATTTATTATTTTTAAATATACCAATGTTAAAATTTAAAAAAAAGATAAGATTTTATATTTTTAAAACATATTTAACAAGATGTAGAATCAATGCAACGTTCCCCTTTATTTAATCATTTTTTTGAACTGTCACATACTGATGTGGCTGTGGGAGGGGTATCCTTATGGAAGCGACTTACTTTTTTAAAATATTTCTTAAAAATTTAAATTATACTTAGATAAAGATAAAACTTTTCACTATGACAAAAACAAAATAATATCAACACTTATTTTCCATACTTCAAAGGTAAACAAATAAATATTTATCAAAAAAAATTACCAGATAACATTATTACCTATTTTTTTTGTTAATGTGTATCAGTAAAATAAATGTGATAGCAAAAAAATATCTTAACGACGAAGAAATGTATGAAAATTTATAAATATGCATAGATAGTATCATATATAAATATAATGTACCGAAAACATTCAGGAACTGAATATCACCATGCTTTTCGAATACAAAGATTCCAACGCTCCAGCCGTCCTACTATCGTCTCCATCGTCCCCTATCCCTTCCACCACATCTCAGCCACCTCCCGAAAATAAACAATATTTAAACAGTTCAAAATACGATGAAAAATCGAACAAAATAATCGATGTCTCGCCGAATTCTAACTTGGTTGAACTTGATACCGCCGTTAAACATAACCTGGCACCTTTCAATGATGAAAATGCCATGCAAAATTTAGGGATCTTGTCAAATTCTTCTAAACTGACCAAAGCCAATCCCCAAAATATTATCGAAATTCTCCCAGAAGGCAAATGGGGGAAAGGGTTTATCATGACTTTGGACGCTGATCTATCACTCGTGGGCAGAGTTGCCGCCTCGCAAGTTACCATAAACATCGCAGAGCTGAGAGGGCCCGTGAGGCTGAGGTTCAGTCGTTTACCTTACACTCATTGGTCCTTCATGTTTTTAAAGGTATTAATTATTTTGAAGGATTTTGTAAGAATCTATCAATTTGGACCGAAAGGACAGATCTGCAAGGGGGTCAAATTAGCTAAAAGTACTAGTGGTTTATATACAGCTTTTTTAGTCGAATAATGTCTTTTTTATCTAATAATTTTTTCAAAAATATGTTGCCCTGATTTTTTATATCTAAAATGAGCAGGATAAAAGACTATGTTTTTGAAAAAGTCACTATTTTTTTGAAAAATGATATATTTCACTAAAAAAGTTATATATATAACATTTTAAACTTTATATGCGATGTTGACCAATCTCGTGGAAGAGGCCATTTTTCTGTCTTTTCATTTTTTCTTTCAAATCTATCCATCATCAAATATTTTTAATTATTGTAATAATTTTTTGGGGCCAAAAAATCTAGGCGATATATTTGAAAATTTGAATTGAAATGCTAGATTTTATCAAACATTTTTGTTCACTTTTTTATAACAAACAAATTACGATTAAGCATTAGATAAATTTATTCGCTTAATCCCAGAGTTTTCGATGTTAACCTTTTCAGAAAATTTATATATTATAATAATTTCGTTTTATAAATTATTTTAAATTAAATTATACAACGCTAATCTTGTTGATATTATATTATATTTAAAATAAAACAAGCGGAGTTATTTTTATATATAAAGTATATCTTCTTGGTATTCGATGTTTCGTTTGTTTTGAATGGAAATGCTTTTTATAATTTTTACTTTTAAAATAAATTTTATTAGCAAAACTGCGCCATATTAGCTAAAAACAGAGAGGAAGAAAGAAGAATGATAAAAAAAAATACGGAAAAATGAAAATTTTTTCCATCCCAATTAATGAATCTTTTATATGTCATTATTTTGTACGACTATTTTAGGTGATTTTATAACAAATAGACCATGATTCGGATGACCATTTTAAAAATAGATGTGGTATGAAGGTTAAAATATAGATTGTATATTCTATATATTTTAGTACCCAAGCATATATCCCGAGTTATGGGCCTTCAAAGTTCGATGAGAGCCTTTTCCACTTTTAACGAATATCAAATTATTCAAAATATTTTTGGTCGAAAATAATAAATTATATATAATTTTGTAGTCCTTAAAATCTCCTTATGAAAGTTTAAAATTGTTTAAAAAATATCTTCAGTATTGTTGTATTTTCGGTAAAACAAAAAAAAATATTTTGAAAAGTACCCCATTTAATAAGATGAAAGATGTAACTCATGAGATATGTTTATTGCCGTTATATTTAAATATTTAGTAAAAATGTTAACGGTGAAAATAAGAATTTAAATTTATTTAGTTTTTATAATTTAAGAAATAAAAAAAATTAATTATAAAGGGCTCATAGATAAAAATAATTATAATATATTTTCTTTTTATTAGGGTATAATATAAAGTTTTTTTGAAAATTTTTATGATATATGATAATTTAATAGAAATATTTATGGTTATTTATAATATAAAATACATATCTTTATTTATAAAATAAATTATATTATCTTTAAAAATAGCGCTCTCTATAATTGATTTATTGATTCCTTAAATTATAAAAAACTAAATAAAATTTGAATTTTTATTTTCTCTATTAATATTTTTACTTTAATATTTATATATCTCGTATTGGGATATGGAATCATGTGGGATTCGGAATCCCAACGTGGGGATTCAAGATCTTAAATCCCCACGTTTTATTCGGGATCATTTTTTTAAAATATTTAAAAAATATTCCGAATCCCCATGAAAAATAAATAAATATAATTACTTTTTCTTTTCTTTTTTTGCGGCTGGCACCATATAATTAAAAGGCCAAAATAAGGATTTAAAAAGAGAATTTAAAAAAAAGTAAATAGTATTAAATTAAGGCATTTAATGAATGAAAAGGGATGAGGTTAAGACTTTTTTGTTTTAAAAAATATATTTATAAAATATCCTAATTATTGCAAGAGCTTAATTTAATAATGAAAATATACCTAAAAAGCAAGTATAATTGTGTTTAAAAATTTCCAATTGAAGTTTTTGTTTAAGAAATAAGGATTCGCGATTTTCGTTTGTTATGCTAAAAAAATTTCGTGATAAAGTTTTTTAAAAAATATATGTAGACTGTGAAAAATTGCCGTTAGTTGAAATGACTATTGGCGAAATATAAAGTTATTTAATTTTGAATATTTATTAATTTTTTTATTTTCCCCACAAGTAAGAGGTTTTGTATTAATTGAAAAGGATGATACGCAGATTGCATCTCAAATAAGGGATTTCCCATTGGACCAGAGGGTGCAAGTTAAGCCATCGGGTCTGATTTTTTTTTATAATTATACCAATATCAATATTATCAAAATAAAATTTTAAAAAATAAAACAAATAACAATGGCAATATTTTGAAGTTTTGGAAGCAGGAAAATTTATTTCCTTTTTTGAAAAAATTAGAGAGTAAAATTTTGTCAGCCCTGGCAAATTCGGCTTCTAGTGTAAGGTTATTTTCTGTAGCCAATCGCCTATTAGAGGAAAGTAGTACATAATTGAAATTTTAAAAATAGACATTCTTCTTTTTCTAAGTAAAAATTTGGATTTATAATATGTATTTCTTTTTTGTTATTATGGATTATGGAATTAAAGAAATAAATAGAGTAAATTCAAAATGTAAAAAATTATAGTATTAAAATTTAGAAAAATTTAAAAACACCGTTGAATTTTCGGACGTGAATCAAAATATTGCCTTTCGTGAGCGGGCGGGTCGAGTCAAAATTTTTTTAGTGGTAAGCATGAATGGGCGTGATTATTGCCACCGTGAGTGGGCGGGCCGTGAATAAAAAATTAGGCCCGCACCTCTTTTCGCTTTCTTTTCCTCTAATTTGTCTAAATTATTAATTTAAAAATAATATTTATTTTTTACATTTAATTTATATTAAAACCATTTTTTCAGGTCCGTGAAGTTGGCCCCGCAATTTTTGATTTTCAATGGTTTATCAGTTGGTGTGATTAGTACCCGATTTGTACCGTTTTCAGTTCGATTTGTACCATCACCGTTTTCCAGCTATTGACCGTTGAAAATATGGCGCCAAAAATATAAAACACTCAACATTTATTTTTTTAAAAAATTTTTTAACACACAACGGTAGAGAATTTTTTTCTCTTCCTAATGATGCCTCAAATTAAGCTTTATCTTCATTATTTATTTCGGAAATCAAATTTTAAACCTTATATTATAGCGTGAAGTTAGCCCCCCCCCCCCCCCCCAATATTCAAAATTTGAGATTTTTCAAATTTTTAAAACGGGATTGATTTGTACCCGATTTGTACCGTTTCAAACTCGATTTGTACTATTATCGTTTTCCAGCTATTGACCGTTAAAGATATGGCGCCAAGTGATGGTACAAATCGAACTGAAAACGGTAAAAATCGGTACAAATCATTCTCTATCGACCTATTCACTTTTTATTTTTAAGTTCAAAAGTTGGGGGGCTGTCGTGAAGTTGACCCCCCCATTTTGTTCTTTGAATATCTCAAAAACGGTGATGGTACAAATCGAACTGAAAACGGTACAAATCGGGTACTAATCACACCAACTGATAAACCATTGAAAATCAAAAATTGCGGGGCCAACTTCACGGACCTCATTTTTTCGAGTATTTAATGATTTAAAGCATAAAAGTAATACATATTATATCTCTAAAAAATAAAATTTTCTGGTGCCAGCCAGGCGGCAAAAAAATATAATTTAATTGTTTTTTTAAAAAAAGATTCCGAATCCCCTTAAATAAAAAAAATTTATTTTTGTTAAATATCTGAACCGTAACCGAACCGATATAATTATTTTTTGAAGGAGTAAAAAGAATCTTTATAAAAACGGTTAAACCGGTTCAGTTTTTATATTTTAGAAATGGAAATAATTTGAATATCCAGAATTATATAAACGTGCTCTTATAGTACTGGAGGTTCCCGCAACACAAGTTTCTGTAGGAAGGGCTTTTTCGGGGCTAAAATTTGTGTTATCGTCACAACGAACATATAAAATCAAATAATATATTTAAAAATGAGTTATTTTGAATCTTATATATTTTTTTTATATATAATTCATAGATGCTTATAATAAAAATAAATTAGAAGATGATGTTGCTTCAATAAAAAAATATTTCTAACCGTAATGAACCTTTATAAACCTTTATAATTAGCTGAACCAAACTGAACCGTTATAAATAACGGTTCGGGTCCTTGCTTAAATGTTCAACGAAATGCTTATTGCATTAAATAATTGTTGCAATAATTCGGATATTTTATAAATATATTTTTTAATATTTTTTAAAATAAAAAAGTCTTAACCTCATCCCTTTTCATTCATTATATACCTTAATTTAATACTATTTATTTTTTTAAAATTCTCTTTTTAAATCCCTTATTTTGACCTTTTAATTATATGGTGCCAGCCGCAAAAAAAAGAAAAGAAAAAGTAATATATTTTAATATTTTTTTTTTTTAAAACAAAAATGTCTTAACCTCATCCCTTTTCATTTATTATATACCTTAATTTTATACTATTTACTTTTTTTTTAAATTCTCTTTTTAAATCCTTTATTTTGCCCTTAATTATATGGTAACAGCCGCAAAAAAAAGAGAAGAAAAGATAATTATATATTTTTTTTTTTCATGGGGATTCGGAATATTTAAAAAAAAAGATCCCGAATAAAACGTGGGGATTTAAGATCTTGAATCCCCACGTTGGGATTCCGAATCCCACATGATTCCATATCCCAATACGACATATATATTGATGACATATTTGTTGAGTTTCAACGTTTCAAACACTTTTTATGATTGATTTTTTTTATTCCTAAAATTATAAAAACTTATAATTTAAATTCTATTTTTTCCATTAATATTTTTACTTTTGGTAATGAACATATTTAAAGAGTTTCATTGTTTCATATTAGGCCCTTCTCAAAATAATTTATTTTTGTTTTACCACTAAGGATATTTTTTAAATAATTTTTCCATTTTCTCAAAGAGAATTTTAAGGGGCTACAAAATAATAAATAATTTGTTAATTTAGACCAGAAATATTTGGAGTAATTTGACATTCGTTAAAAGAGGAAAAGGCTCTCATCAAACTTTGAAGGCCCATAACTCGGGATATATTTGAGCTAGGGCATTAATATTTGAATTAGTATAAAATATACAATCTATTTAACCTTCATACTAAGTTTTATCCCATTTTAAAATGATCGTCCGAAATCATCCCTAATTCATTTAAACAAATATTTGTTTCAAGTTTTGTTAAAAAATTATATTTATGTCTATAACATATTATAATATTACCATATAATTTCTTCTCTTTTAAAGTCTAATTTTGCGATTCCACGAAAAAATATCTTATTTATGTAATAGAATAACATATAATTAGTACTAAAAACCAATGACAATATACTACAACCCCCAAAGTAACCAGCATAATATAATAAATATTTAATCCTTTTTTAAAAATAAAACCAATAGGATCCGCTTATGAATATAAATGTTGATTGCATTTTGCGAAATAAGCATTTGCCTCAAATCGCGTCAATAATCGCTTCTCAAGTTTTCACAAAGATTATTTTATTTTAATAAAATAATGTAGAATCGAAATCTTATGAATAATTTATTTTGATTATATATAAATTTTTAATTAAAAAAACACAGGCAGATTTTTACAGGAGAAAGAAATAGTTAGAGCTGTATATGGGATGAGGATTAAACATTATCAATTTTTTTAAAATATATTCTAAAATTTTAAATCGATTTTATAATTAAAGTTACTATTGAAAATTTTTATGTTAAAGTTTGTTTTGTGCAATTTATATCTTCGCTTTGAATAATTGGATCGATCTATTATATCCTAGAACCCTGAATTAGAACGTTCTTATCCACACCGTTAGGTCCTAAAAAAACAGTCCAAGCTCAAAATTTCTTGAAATAATACGTCCGAATCCGATCCTAATTTTTTTTAAACTAAAATTATTATTTTATCACCGAGTGCCTAAATTTATACCCAGTTGGTTCCATCCAGCACAATTTAAAAAAAAAATATGTTTGAATTCATCCGATCCAACTCTTGTAAGGTTTTAATAAATACATATTTTTTTCCTTTAGTAATTAATTTAATAGATAGTCAACTATACATTAGGAAAGGATTCTTGGGTTATTCCAATATTCTTGCAAATATATAATAGTAGCAAGGTTCGATTCTAACTGGCCTATTAAAATTTTATTAGAAATTTTTCGGCTCATAAAAAAAAATCATATTTGCCTGGTTTTTTTGCTCAAACTGCTGGCCAGGCTAAGGGTTAAACCGTTTGGGTATATATTCTGCATTTTGTGCCATAGTTATTCATGGGTATTTTACACTTTCAAAAAAAAATAGAAAATTATTTATTTATGGCTAATTTTTTTTTCCCGTTAAAATAATAAAACAAAGATTAAAAAATCCATAAAGAAACGCCATACCTTCCCTCATTACAAAATTAGATTAAAACCCTTTTTTCACACAACCGGATCTAGTCCCATAAATTCGCCGGATCTCTCGACTTCTAATCGGCAGTCCGATATAAATCCGCCTGAAATTATCAATGAAAACATTAAAGTTGTCAGAGAAAACAGTGAGGTCAGTAAAGAGCAAGCCGATACCGCTAATTATCCTCCGAAGCCCACGTCGAATGTGTCTTCTAGTGGAGGTGGCAGATTATTCGGTAACCTTAAAACGAAACTTATGGGCGGGGGAGTAAGAAGGAGGAACAAAGCTTTGACCAAATCCAACGGGATAAGCGTTATCAACGAAGAAACAACGTCACTTTTAGAGTACAATAGTATCATTAATAAGGGCGATTTAGACGAATCGGTGAATACTAAACTTGATCAGGATAAAGCCAATATCAGAGTCGATAATGAAAATATGCTAAGTGGTAAGAGTTTATTAGTAGAACCTCGGTTTATAGTTGCGGAAAAGGATAAAGAAGTATGCTATTTAAATATGCCTTTTTTATTTAGTTAATGATGTATTTTATGGTGGCGTAACAACCGCCCAAATGGGGGGGGGGTTTAATTTTTATCTATATAAAAATGTATCTTTATTGTATAAAATTATTATAAGTCATTGCAACATCATTTAACTATGGTATTCTACCAATAATTTGTGCGATGGTTACCCTCTGCTGGCTAATCTCATCTGTTAGTGATTATTTTTAATTTTAAAAAGATACTTTTCCACAGTTGCCCTCATCACCGGTATTGTTAGAAAAATAAGCAGACACTTACATTGTAAACACTAGCTGCTATCGATATTTTCTCTATTTATATTAATTTTGTCAAATCTTGAATAGTTTCCAATTTTTTAAAAATAATATTGTAAACGGATTATTCGGAAAATTTAAATCTCTCTTATATATCTTTATTTACTTGATATTATTGAATGATGTAATTTTATAAGAGTTTTTAAGATTTACATAAGTATAAATAGTCAGCATAAATATTGACTCTTATTTATCCTTCTTGATTCTGCAAACTTCTATTCCGTCAAAGTTTTTCAAGAAATTTTGTTTTGAATATTATTTTATTTCGTATACAGATTAATAATGCATTTAATTAGATTTATATTTTAGAAGAAAATATATTTCACAGTGAAAGATTATGAAGAAATTTGAATTTAAAAAAAGGAAGCCGATATTAAAAAAGCATGTTATTAATAACGAAATTTAGTCAATTAATAAAATTGGAACCCTGAGGTACGCAAGTCCCTATGTTACGCCAGTCAAATTGTAAATTATTTAGTAATTTTTTTTAACTCTACGATTTTTATGTTGCATTTAATATATATAATTTTTTAAAAAAACGCGGATAGAATTTATTAATTATATACAGCTAAACCTGTCTAATTTTGTCACTTGATAATTCGGGCAACTCCCAAATTTACCAAAATTTTATTCTCAATCAAATTCGTAGTACCTACTACTAAAAAATGCCTTGTTATGAGCAACTCTTTACTTCGAAAAATGGCAGATTTTTAATTTTTTCCCCATTTGCATAAGACCTCTATAAAGCGGGCATTTGTTGCATTCATTCATTTATTTATATTATAGAAATTTTATACTTTGTAAAACTATACATGTATAATAACAAAATTAATAAAGAAAACAAATATAACCAGTTATGGTTAATTAAAAAAATTTAGGTTATTAAATTTTTAATTTGTCATACTCAAAGAGAATGTGATAAAAGATTTAATATTTCTAAAGAACTGTTCACAGTGGCTTAGGCATGGGGGGGGGGTGGTTATTAAAAAAAAAAATTTTTTTTAAATTTTTTTTTTAAAATTTTTTTTTAAAATTTTTTATTTTTAATTTAATAAATTCTTAATAAACGCTTGATTTTTATGTTTTAAATTTATTATAAATAATAATAGATATACACATTCGATTATTTTTATATTTATTTTTGGTTTGCAGCTATTTCACACCACCCAAAAAGGGAGTTATTTATTCAAACGTATGATATTGACAAAAATCAAAAAAAAAAGCTAAAAAGATTTTGTCCGACCAGATTCATCGAAAGACAAGAGTCGGTGAAACACTTTATTGAACTATATGATGTTGTCTTTGCAGCACTAGAATTTTATATATCAAGCAAGGAAAAAGATTCAGCAGGTGCCGAAAATCTTTTGCAGGCTATTATTAAGCCACAGTTTTTAATTTCAATTCAATGTGTTTATTTTTTATTTAATGATACATATGATTTTAGCAAAATGCTACAAAAAATTGATTTGGATTTAAGGGATATTATGAATAAAGCAAAGGATATTGTTGAAATATTAACAAATATCAGAGTTTCATGAAATATATGAAAAAGTAAAGGAGATTGCTAATATGTTTGGAATTGAAAATTTTAAACCTAGAGCTCTAGACAATCCAATCGATCAAATATTGATGCATCTACGATTGAGGATTATTATAAAATAAACATTTTTATTCCCCTTATTGATACATTTTTATTTCAATTAAAAGAAAGATTTATTAGTCATAATTATATTTTAAAAAGCTTTTATTTTCTTTTGCCGGTTAAACTGTTGATTACACTTGAAACACGAGGGGATATTAAAAAAATCTCAGAGTTTTATGCTGATGATTTAGTAGGTTCATATGATAAGTTACTTTGTGATGTCGAATTTTGGTATAAAAATCTTGACAGAATAGGGTATTCTTTGAGACCAAAAAATGCTCTGCAGGCCCTTTCCATGTGTAATTGCATTTTAGATTCCCTGCCTAATATCAAAACATTATTAATTATTTTAGCTACCTTGCCAATTAGTACCTGCACTAATGAAAGGTCTTTTTCAACTTTAAAAAGGTTAAAAACCTATTTAAGAAACACAACCGGTGAAAAACGTTTAAATAGGTTAGCCCTATTAAATATTTATAAGGAGATTATTTTAGATAAAAATTTGATTCTAGATGAATTAGCAAAATCTCAGAGAAAAGTAGATCTCTCTTTTTAAATTCAAATCAAAAAATAGCAATAAAATTTTATTAATTTTAATATATAATCAATTTTTTTTTGTAAAAAAAGTATTATTTATAAGATAATATCATCATATTTTTTTAAATACATTATTTGCATAAGAATTACACATATTTTTTATAATTGTAAAAAATTACTTTTTTTTTAAATAGAGTCTTTATACATTATAATTTTTAATATTAAAATCTGTATTATATAAAATATCAACATTTTGAAAATATTTTAATTAATACATGATTAAATAAAGATTAATATAAACTATGCTACATTAAAAATATAAATATTATTTTTACTATGTTAAAAAAATCTACAAGCGGGGAAGAAAATTTAAAATTTCTCATTTTTTAAAAATGAATAAAAGAAAAAAATCATGTTTATACTGTATATTTTTTGTGCCATTTTTTTTATTAGGGTTAAAAAAAATTGGTATCCCGTCTTTACAGAGAATCTTTTATAGAGAATGTAAATATAGAGAAACTTTTATAGAGATAACAATTGTAGAGAATGTCGTTTATAAAGAATATCGTTTATAGAGAATGATTTTATGGAGAATTTATTTTATAGAGAAATTTTAAAGAGAAAACAATTATAGAGAATGTCGTTTATAGAGAATCTCTTATAGAGAATGTTTTTATAGAGAATCTCGTTTATAGAGAATGATTTTGTAGAGAATCTCGTTTATAGAGAATGATTTTATAGAGAATATATTTTATAGAGAAACTTTTATATAGAGAAAACAATTATATTTGAATGTCATTTATAGAGAATCTCGTTTATAGAAAATCTCGTTTATAGAGAATGATTTTATAGGGAATATTTTACAGAGAATTGTTTTACAGAGAATTATTTTATAGAGAATTGTTTTAGTGCTTATTATTTTATAGAGAAGGATTTTATAGAGAATAATTTTATATTGAAGAATTTTATAAAGAATGATTTTATAGAAAATGAATTAAGTATTATTTTAGAAATAAATTTTCTCAAATATGACCATTTACTATCTAATTCTTTTTTTTGGCACTTATTAAACCAGATTTAATCTAATATAATTTATTAAAATAAGGATATTTAATTGGGAAATTTACTCAATAAGAGGCTAAGGATATTTAATCTGGAAAATCTACTCAATAAGAGGCATTGAGATTTTTTTTTATTACAATGTAGAATATTTTATCATTATATATATTTGATGCGAAATATCAAATAAATTTAGAAAAGGAAAATATCAAAGTAGGCTTAAGAAAAATTTCCAAAAAAAGCAATGTCCTACACCATCACTTGGAAAGCAAAAAGATAAGTTGAAAAAATTAAGGTATTCACAAAAATAAATAATTACTAAGTTAGTAATAATCTTAGTAACTTAACATTTTATTGCATAAATTCTTTATTCAAATTTTCAAATTTTTTCGATCAAATAAAATTAATTCAAAATAGTTCCATAATTTAAAATAGTTCCATAATCCTAAATATATAATTTTTATTCATGACATAAATATAAATTTAATTATATAATTTAAACATTTAAATTAATATTGTGGGACAATGCCCTTAGATAATCTAACATGGGTCTTGAATAGTAATTTTCGACTATTCATACACCCGTTGAGCTCTTTCCCGATATTGTTTTTTTGAGAGTGGAGCCAATAGTCCCAAAGAATATTGCTCCAATTTATAGCATTAAGGCTATCTTCATCTTTAAGAGCTAAAAATTAAATAAGATTTTAAAAATTTTTTAATATAATATATATTTCATACTTTTGATAAATTTCTAAATGGTTGGATGATGGGAACTTATATGGGAAGAAAAACTCCGGTGCCAACCTTCTACTGCATTGTTGGTATTTGGAGCTCGCATCAGAGTGGAATCATAGCAATTCCATAATGAAATACTAAACAATGGGGATCTCTCCATTGCTATCATTTTGCCTATCCATGTCTCCTCGAAGTATTCTATCAAAGGTTGGAGAATATCCCGCCTTTCTTGATAGAATTTGGAACCAAATAGCACCTCGAATCCATGGATTATGTCGTCCACTGGCACATATGACAGTGATAATAACATCTTAATTTGCAAAGCAAAATTAGGCTCTGTCATATATGACATACAAATTATTGCATTTTTTTGAACGGCGCGCCATATGCATTGAGACATATGGAAGAAACATCCACGGTTATCAGCTAACGGAAAAGATTGGTTGAAGGCTGATATGGCTGCCAATTCAAAGTCTGTCATTATAGACTTAGGATCAAGATGAATTTCGAAATTTTTAATTTTTTCGAAAATATTTAAATAATCTTGATGGCGATGCGAAGCCATAATAATATAAACGGCAAGAATAATCGTGTCGTATTTCATCCCATGGATGGTATAGATTTGTTGAAAGAGTGGAGGGCATGTTTTGAAGGTGCCATCTGCGTATTATTTGTCGCACGTTGATAGGAACT